GTCTGTGCAGCTCTGAGTAAAGTGTGGCACCTGGCAGCCCCCACGCCCGCAGTCTGTGCTGCAGTCTGTTGTCTGCTGGGTCTCTAATCCATCACGGTGTCTTCAGATAGGGTCTCAATGTCACCCAGGCTGTCTCTGTGCTGGATGTTGTACTTGAAAACTTACTTTTAAGAATCATCTTATGCCCATATTGAGGGTGTCCTCCCCATAAAATAATCTGAATTTACTCTGCCCAGAGCTGGAAGGCACCACCAGTCGGCACCACCTCACTGGAGGGAAGGCTAAGGGTCTCCCATCACCCAGGTACTGTGAACCTGGGCTGCAACACTCTGTCAATGCCAGTCCACTTCTGGCACAACCCACCCTGAGCTGTAGCACCGTGGGGTCCCAGCTTCTCTCCACTGGGCCCCACTTTCCATGGCCTGGGTCATTAGTCCTCACCTCCATGTGACCTTGCCGACACTCTGAGGGCAACAGCCGTCTCTTGCTGTTTTCATCTCTGACTCCCTGCCCTCCAGTTCTGGCCTAGTGATTTCTTTCTGTTTCACAATGTATTGGATATTTTCACTGCAATGTGTTAAGATATCTTATCCCACTTTCTGGGTGTCTTTAGTGAGCCAGATTTGTCCCAATGCCCTTGTCCATCCATCCTAGTGACAAGGAACTCCACATGCTCCTTTGAGGTGAATTTCTATCTAAAAGTAATCAATCGGGCTGGGTGCAGTGGCTCACACCTATAATCTCAGCACTTTGGGAGGCCCAGGAGGCCAGATCACTTGAGGTCAGGAGTTTGAGACCCCTATGGCCAACATGGTGAAACCCCGTCTCTACTAAAAATACAAAAATTAGCTGGGCATGGTGATGTGCACCTGTAATCCCAGCTACTCATGAGGCTGAGGCAGGAGAACTGCTTGAACCCAAAGGGCGGAGGCTGCAGAGAGTCAAGATCGTGCCACTGAACTCCAGCCTAGGTGACAGAGTGATATGTCTCCAAAAAAAGAGAAAAAAAATCAACTTTCTATACATCCTGGCCTCTCTTCTGCCTGGGCTCTGGACACTCCTGGAGCAGGACAACATGGTCCTACAGGAACAGGAAGCTGGCCTGCTCAGCCGACAGTGGTCCCAGAAGGCAGGGCACAGGGAAGGGGGCCCCCAGCTGCACCTCCCACGTTCCCACCATGGCAGCTTGCCAGTGTTAGGACTCATTTTCAAGACAAATGGAGTGTCTGTGCCCCCAGCTGAAGAGGGACCACTGGGAGGGACCAACCTTCCTCTTAAGGACGCTGAGCTTCTCTACCACACCATCCAGCAAGCTGACCACAGAGTCCACGGCAGGGCAGCCACTGAGCGTCTTCTCCAGCTCGGCCACCACCATAGTGACGTGGCTGGTCTCCCGGTCAATGTTCTTCTGAGCGGCGCGAAAGCGTTTGTTCAGTGTCTCGTAGGGCACCTGGAGAGGAAGGAGGATGGTGAGGGGTCCGCTCCCCTGGTGTGAGCCCCGCCAGCCCCACACCCAGGACACACCATGGTACTTTCAGAGACAGAAGTCTTAGAAGCCTCTGGTCTCCAAGTATCTACTCTAAACCTCGACCAAGACCCAAGAAAGCCCTGGTGAATGGAGAGCCACTCCACGTCCCTGGATGATAAGCAACCCAATTTTTGACGAAAAAAAAAAAAAAAAAAAAAAAAAATGCTAAGTGTATGTTGACAAAATAATCCCAAAGTTCATCTAGAATAATGAACAGTTAAAGACATTTCTGAATAGGAGAGGAGTGGATGGGCATGGCGCTATCAGACAGTGAAACACAGGACTGGCCAGTGATCCACCAGGCTGCTGCAGCTGCAGGTGCCACCACAGAGATCAGTCCAGGAAGGGTCAAAGGTGCATGGGGCATGGGTTCCACACCGGGCAAGGTTGGGCACAGCAAGCCAAAAACACGCACGTGAAGCTAGGTGCACAACACACACCTCTCCTGCAAGAGTGCTCACCTCACCCCAATCATAAAAATAATCTATTCCCCATGGACACGCACAACCCACACCTCTCCTGCATGAGCGTGTTCGCCTCACCCCAATCATAAAAATAATCTATTCCCCATGGACATGCACAACCCACACCTCTCCTGCATGAGCGTGTTCACCTCACCCCAATCATAAAAATAACCTATTCCCCGTGGAAACGGACACCCACACCTCTCCTGCATGAGCGCTCACCTCACCCCAATCATAAAAATAATCTATTCCCAGTGGACACGGACAACCCACACCTCTCCTGCATGAGCGCATTCACCTCACCCCAATCATAAAAATAATCTATTCCCCGTGGACAC